AGGCTCGTTATGCACAGCTGATGAAGTAGTCAGGGAAAGATGCTGAGGGTGTGTGTCCAGGTTCCTTAAGCACAGCTGATGAATTAGTCAGCGAAAGATACTGAGGGTGTGTGTCCAGGCTCGTTATGCACAGCTGATGAAGTAGACAGGGAAAGGTGCTGAGGTGGGCAGGCTTATTATGCATAGCTGATGCACACTTAGCAGGGAGGGCTTGCGATGATTGCAAGTACGATCTGCCTGTCCAAGATGGAAAATTTTAATTACCTTACAACCATCGCACAACGAAAGTCGTGCGATGGTTGTAAGGTGTATGGGCAGCTTTATTATACATCGATGATGAAGTAGTCAGGGAAAGGTGCTGAGGGGGTGTGTGGCCAGTTTCATTATACACAGCTGCTGATGTAGTCAGGCAAAGGTGCTGTTGCAGCAAGCAACCACAAGGTGGAGCTGGGAGGCTGTAAAGGGATAGGAACATGTTTAATGCTCCTGACATTATTAACCCCTTAGTGGCACAGCTTCCGAAAATTTGTTTTCTTCTGGGGACCGGAGCAATTTTGCCATTTTTGCTATGTATTTGTTTTACCATATTTTCCATCTTCCTTATGCATTACACTGACACATATTATATATCAAGTTATATATGGGTTTTAATTTAATGTGAGATGCATATCTAAATTCTTATTTTTTTTTATTAAAGAGTACAAAAAATGCCAATTTACTTTTAGGGGCTTTGGGGAAATATTAGGGGTCTAAACAGACTTCTGCTATTACCCTGTTAACATAGAAAATGAGATTGAGAACACAGAGTCTTCAATCTCTTTTTCTGCAGCCCCAGTTATCAATGAACAGGAATCCTTTATACTGAGTGTTCCTGTTCATTCATAACATGAGGACAGATTATGTTTACTATATCCACAATCATGAATGAACAGGAGGTGATGTAGATCACTTCCCATTCATTCATAATTGAGGATATAGTAACCATACCATGTCCTCAATAATGTTCGCTGAGTGTTTGTACCGCTCTCCTTCCTGACACGCTGTCACAGGAGGCTGAGCGAGCGGACCTCAGCCTCCAGTGACAGCGCTGGCTGTCTCCGCCCACACACCGCTCTCCCGATCTGTGACAGGAGGCTGAGCGGTGTGGGAGGAGAGACACCGGCCGCTCACAACGCTCTCCTCCCGCAGCGCGCGGATAAATCGGTGCATCCCTAATAATAATGAGTACATAATTAGTGTATCTAACAGAAAGTAATTCATAATAAATTCTTTGTCCTCATTTCTAGGGTATATCATATGTCTGAGATTTCAGTTTATTTTAGGAGTTAAAAGTTACAAAATACAAGGAGCGAAATACAATATTAATGTGGAACAATTTTTTAATGTGGTATGTTTGTCTCCTATCTTTAATAGCCTCCTGGGCACTATATTTTCTTATCATTTTGTTTTATTAAACATATTTTTTGTAAACTATTTTGACTTTTTGATAATTCTTAAAAATGTTAAAAACTTTATTTTTTATTTTTAAATGTATTTTTTTTTTTAAATAGGGAGCACTAGGGCTTTGATACTTTGTATTTCTATGCAGAATACAGTATTCTCCACAGAGACACTTTGTATCAATTTTGAAACACACCCGGCTAGCTGTTTACAAAATACATCCGTAGAAGTAGTCAGGAAAAGGTGCTATGGGAATGTGACCAGGCTCATTATACACAGCTGATGAAGTAGTCAGGGAAAGGTGCTGAGGGGGTGTGGCCAGGCTCATTATACACAGCTGATGAAGTAGTCAGCGAAAGGTGCTGAGGGAATGTGACCAGGCTCATTATACACAGCTGATGAAGTAGTCAGGGAAAGGTGCTGAGGGGGTGTGGCCAGGCTCATTATACACAGCTGATGAAGTAGTCAGGAAAGGTGCTGAGGGGGTGTGGCCAGGCTAATTATCCACAGCTGATGAAGTAGTCAGGGAAAGGTGCTGAGGGTGTGTGACCAGACTCATTATACACAGCTAATGAAGTAGTCAGGGAAAGATGCTGAGAGGGTGTGACCAGGCTCATTATACACAGCTGATGAAGTAGTCAGGGAAAGGTGCTGAGGGGGTGTGACCGATCTCATTATACATAGCTGGTGAAGTAGTCAGGAAAGGTGCTGAGGGGGTGTGACCCTACTGTAGAATAGAGGGGGAAATAGTTACATTTTTTGCGTGTTGTGAAATAGCAGTTCTTTTAATAAATCTACACTATTAAGACAGTTAACAAAGGGAATCTGCGACTAACAACAATTCTGAAGTCTCCTCCTGTGCATCTAGAAACAGCCCTTCTTGACTACAAGTGTCATACGGCACAGGCTCAGTGGTCAACTCAACAACAACCTTTGCAATTAGGGATGCACCTATACCGATACTTGTATAAGTATCTGTGCCAATACTGGGCATTTTCCCAAGTAATTGTACTCGTGAAAACTCCCCGATACTAAGCACCAATACTGGCACTTTAAATTTTTAAACATGAGCGGCTGTCTGAGGTCCCGCGCTTGCTGGGGACCTCAGGCAGCCTCCTGGACCTACGGTGGCTGTTTACCGCTCATGTCTGGCCACAAAATCTTCCACCTCCTCAGACTCTGGAACCTCTCCTCACATCCCGGCACCCCTCCTCAGACTCTGGCACCTCTCTACATCTCAGCTCCCCTCCTCAGACTCTGGCACCTCTCCTCACATCCCGGCACCCCTCCTCAGACTCTGGCACCTCTCCTCACATCCCAGCACCCTTCCTCAGACACTGGCACCTCTCCTCATCTCAGCACCCCTCCTTAGACTCTGGCACCTCTCCTCACATCCCGGCACCCCTCCTCAGACTCCGTCACCTCTCCTCACATCCCAGCACCCCTGCTCCCATCCTGGCACCCCTCCTCACACTCCCACACCTCTTCTCTCATCCCGGCACCCCTACTCACATCCCAGCACCCCTCCTTACATCCCGCCACCCCTCCTCACATCCCGGCACCCCTCCTCAGACTCCGGCACCTCTCCTTACATCCCGGAACCTCTTCTCAGACTCCGTCACCTCTCCTCACATCCTGGCACCCCTCCTCACACTCCAGAACTCCTCCTCTGACTCCAGAACCCCTCCTCAGACTCCAGCACAAAGCCCCTGAGACTATGGCATAAAGCTCCAGGTCCTGCCAGAGGAGATGGAGGGAACCTCCACCTTGACAGCCCTCTCGAGGAAGTTAAGATATGGGAGAGCCGGGACGATGTTATACTGCATGATTGCCACTTATTGATGGACTGCAGGTGTCTCAAACTTAAAACATGACACAAACATTTTGTTAAACAAGATAGAGCCATATATTCACTAGGCAGGTGCCTTATTGTGTCACCAGCTTGCAAAATCCCCATATAATTGGCTGATTTGTGAATACTGGAGAAAATGTCTGCATTGTTTTAGAAAAACTGTAACACTGTAACTGTGGCACTAAAAAAAAATAGTATCGGTAATTGGTATTGGTGAGTACTTGAGGAAAAGTAACCGTACTTGTATTCGGTCTCGTGGAAACGGTATCGGTGCATCCCTATTTGCAATCCTTAAAGCAAAACTCCGGGCACACATTTTTTTAACGCTTGCAGTGGGGTTCCCCAGTACTGCAAGGGTTAACTGCTCGTTTGTGTCTAGGTTAAAAAATAGTTATACCCACCTGATCTCAGAGCCGGCCGGCTATCAGACCGGTCCCTGGGTCCTCTCTCCCCCTCTGTTGCAGCGGTCTAAGGATCCTCAAGTCATTACAATCTATACATGGTGTATAGGACGTGAAGGACGCCAAGGTATATACCATCGCTGCAGCATAAGAGAAGAGAGGCTTCAGGGAACGCTCCAAGGTTCAGGTGAGTATAACTTCTTTTCAACCTAAACACAAAGGAGCAGTTAACCCTTGCAGATCGCTTCCAGGGGACAGTGTAGTACGTCCCCTTCCTTGCTTCCTAGTTTCCGCTGCCCCTCCTGTGGGCCCGGGCCCATCATCACAGGTGTCGGTGGGAAGCGGAGAAGGAGTCCGGTGAACATCCGCCGATCTCCTCCACGCTGAATGGGGGGTTCCTCAGCTGTTATTCCCTGGCTGCAAAAGCTGGGGAAGTAGCTATTGGAGCTTGATCTGCACTCCAATAACTTATTTGGAGTGGAAAAGTGACACTAGGGGTCTAATAGACCCCTAATGTCACCTTAAAGAGCACCTGTCGGCACAAGTATGCTATCATATGAGGGGCTTATGTGATAGCAATAACGTAAAGTAAAAAGATTATATAAAATAAATGTAAAAATAAAAAAAGTTAAAGTATCCTGCTCCTGTGCATATTACGCGAACACACGTCAGGTGCGCCTACGCACCAAATTGACGATCACGCGACACATGTTAGGTATCTCCACAGTGAGAGCAATAACTCTAGGGCCAATATTCATGGATATATCTAAACTGTTGACCTGTAGGGGCGTTTAAAGTGTCACCTATGAACAATTTGGGGTACCATATTTTGTCGTTGTTTCACCGACGCACGCAACTTTTTACCTGGGCATGTTGGGTATCTATTTACTCTTGGTAACCTCATCTTTTATATCTTACAAACAAAGTGATATTATATTGTGTTTTTGGGTACCAAAATTACCTTAAGTGTATTTTTTACTAAAATTTGGGGTTGGATAAAGAGTTGCGTTAATGTGCGACGTACACCATCTTATTCTACAGGGTCTTTGCTTTCAGAAAATATATAATGCATTGGGGCTTTTAAGTAATTTTAAAATGCCTAAAATGTGGATAAAAAAAAAAAGCCTTGGCAGCAAAAGGGTTAATCCAAAAAACAATATCTCATGGTTAATAACAAATGTACAGATCCAAAAGGTATCCTGCTTCCAGGTAGCTGTTCCATGCTACAGCCTAGTACATGTAGCCTTGTATGAGTTCATCTGCTGTGCTCAAGGCCAAAGTCCACATCAGTCTATAAACTGCAGCAACAACCGATCCACCTGTCTGTATATATCAGGTACGTTTTTTTAGATCATTCCGCAGCTAAAACAATTGTTTAAAAGCTTGGTTACCATCCATGAATACTTAATAATTGGTAATAGAATCCTTATTGAAATTAGTAACACAGTCCTAGATCTGAAGAGCAACAAGAATGTAAGGAACCGAAATATTTTGCAGCCATAGACTTGCTTTTAGATAGAGATTAAGCTTATTTTAGACTGCCGAGTTCATTGATATCTGGAATGTATTAACCACTTGCTGTCAATTTATTACTATTTGCGCACACATGATAACATATACATTTTTGGCTAGAAAACAGCTCCAGACCCCAAGCAATATATATATATATATATAGTCAAAAAAGACAAAATGTCAAAAAAGACATATATATATATATGTGTGTCTTTTTTGACATTTTGTCTTTTTTGACTATATATATATATATATATTTTTTAAATAAATTCTTTATTTTAAAGTTTGCAATGGTACAATCAATCAGAAAAGGACAGATACAATAGACATACATAATACAGAGTCAAGGCATTGTTGGCAATATAAGGACTACCTGAGATAGGGCACATAAAGCCCAGAATAGTTATACGCAGAGGTCACATAGGCATTGATCTGGCATCCAGTAAATTATGGGCACCTTACGCATTATAACATATTCGTAGTTAGTGTGAGGTCTCGGGCACAGTCTGCAAAAGCAAAACTCATATTTTGAGGAGCAGCTAGACTCCATGAGGACATACGTACAAGAACGAAAAGAAAATCTCCTGAGAAGAGGGATTAAAGTGACAGGTGAAGGAAGGGAGGTAAGAAAAGAGGATGAGAGAGGACCAACAGAGGCCATTATAGCTACAGATACATGCATCAGGATATATTTTCTGAAAGCAGAGGCCATGTTTTATGTCGATCGGTATTTGCGCAAATGCTTATCAAACCAATATTTTTAGGATAAAATAAACTACATTCAAATTTAGTGCACAGAAACAGCATATTAGACCCCGTTTTTGGGTAAAACATGAAAACCGGGGTCACACCGGGTAATTAGATACCAAACATGTCAAGCCTTAAAATTGCGTTCGCCGGTGAAGCCGCAAAAAAGGGAACACTTTAAACGCTTTTACCGCTCACCAGTATAGTGCTAACAGTGATTGACAGCACTAGAATTATTGCTCTCACTCCAACGTTCGCAGCGATATGTAACATGTGTAGTGCAATTGTCGTTTTCACACGTAGGCGCACCAACGCATGTTTTCCTGTGTATGTGCATGCACGTGGGGGGTGGGGGACTTTAAGATTTTTCTTTACGGCCTTGTTCACACCAAACGCGTTCCAGGAGCAGAGCAGAGCAGTTACAGATCGGATCAAAACTGCGTCCAATGCATTCCAATGGTATTGTGGGCTCTAGTTCACACCGCAGCGTTCAGTTCCAGAGCATGTAAAAAAACTGCAGCAAGCCCTATTTTACCTGCTCTGGAACGCATGCAAACGCATCAAAAATGCATGCAAACGCCCTGGAACGCACTGAAAGCCCATTTTAAACAAAACATTTTTTAAAAACCAATAACGGCCCTAAACGCATCAAAAATGCACTGCGTGTACAGAAACTGATGCACATCTGGTCTGCATTTGGTGTGATCAAGTACTTATGTGACTATTCTTTACGCTCCAGCGATGGTATGTCCTTCAGGGTCCTCACGTCCTATTCACAGTGTATAGGACGTGATGACTCCTGGACTTTAGACTGCAGCAGTAGGGGGAGGAGAGAGGCTCCAAGGATCTCTTTACCAACAAGCTGGCTCACAGGATCAGGTGTAAGTATAACGTTGTTACTTTTGTACAAAAACAAGCACTTAACCCTTGCAGTTTGGGGGTAGCACCACTGCAAGCGTTAAGAAAAAGGTTTGCCTGGAGTCAGTGGCATCCCGAGGCTGGGTGTCACCGGGCGTGCGTGACGTTGCCGCGCGTGCGCACTGGTCTTTTTGAGCTTCACCCGGCTGGATAAGGTATGCCGCCGGGTCCTCTCCTCTCTCTCCTGACACTGTCGGGCTCTCGGTCCATGACCGAGTGCCCGACATTTCATAGGGGGTGACACCAAAATGACTGTTAGTCATTTTGGTGTCACCCCTCCAATGGTGGCACACGGGTGCGGGCCGCACCCCCCTTGTGACGCCACTGCCTGGAGTTCCTCTTTAAATTAGAACTGAAGCCAAAATGTTTTTTAGTTTCAGATAGAGTAAGGGAGACCCTGTCAGCTTTTTTTGCCATCTGTGTCCCCCTGGGTAGTTTTCCCTTCACTTCCAGTCTGATCGCTACAACAGGAAGTGAGAGGAAATCCCTCCAAAGTGAGGGAAATCCCTGGTGGTCAGCAGGGTCACCAGAGCTAGCGTCCCAACTGGAAGATATTCCATCTATTCCTGTTCTGATGACAATCCAAAATGTGTGTTTTTCTTTCACTTTCAGCAAGTATAGGAAATACCTGTTTATCTTCCCAGAAGTGCAGTGACCTAAACTGAAAGCACAAACAATATTATCTAATGTCTGTGAACTAATAATCCCCCAAATATCTATTGCCCAGCAAATTATTTCTTTACATTTTTGCCCAAGCACTTACAGTCATCATGTTTCTGAACAGCTCCAACTCTCTCAGCTCGGCTTTACTGAACTTCCTTTCCAGTACAAGATCACAAGGGACAGCACAGTCTCCAGTAGCTGTTCATCTACTAGCATGGAAGGAGGAGGAGAGGGGAGCAGAGAGCAGGGGAATGTCTTGTCTTGTTGTGTCTGTGTGTTTGTAGAGACACACATAACTTACTAGCACACACGAGGGTGTCTCCATAGGACCCTGCAAGGGAAAGGAGCCAACCTAAAACAGGATATGACTCCATAGGACCCTACAGGGGAAAGGAGCAACCTAAAACAGGATATGACTCCATAGGACCCTACAAGGGAAAGGAGCAACCTAAAACAGGATATGACTCCATAGGACCCTACAGGGGAAAGGAGCAACCTAAAACAGGATATGACTCCATAGGACTCTACAAGGGAAAGGAGCAACCTAAAACAGGATATCAGGACCAGTGGTCAGGAGACCAGCTGATTCTGCAAGAAACTAAAACTTTGAAACATCAAGGCGTTGCACTTTTTGAAAGTATATCAATCAGCATTTGTAATGGCTTAAAAACCTTTTGACTTTATTATCACTTTAAAGCCTTAAAAAAACCCAAATGCAGGCACCTCATTTATTGACCGGTCAGCTGCAATATATCAGTTAGTTTTTTGTAAAAAAAATAATTAATTATTTTTTTTAGTTTAAAATGGGCATTCATTGCGTTCCGGTGCGTTTGCATGCATTTTTGATGCATTTGCATGCGTTCCAGAGCATTCCAGAGCAGGAAAAATAGGGCTTGCTGCAGTTTTTTTACATGCTCTGGAACTGAACGCTGCGGTGTGAACTAGAGCCCAAAATACCATTGGAATACATTGGACGCAGTTTTGATCCGGTCTGTAACTGCTCTGCTTCTGGAACGCGCTTGGTGTGAACAAGGCCTTAGATACACTATAACGTAAGAAGGAGTATTATTATCTTGTGCAATGGTTTTCTTGGCCACTAAAACATAAACAGAAAATGTTCGTATACATAGATTTGCTGTCAAAGAATAAACAGCCGCGCATTCTTGTATGATTTTTTTTCAACTTATAAGATAATAAAGGATGGGCGGAAGGCATCAGATGCCTGTTATCTCTCTTCTGTCCCAGCTTGTATTATAATTGAGATCAGTTGATAATAACAGTGTCACAGGGAAGGGTAGGAGCAGCGCATCACAGCAGTTTTCTATGGTACTGATGTCAAAATATGGAAACAAGAACCATGATGTGCAGTAATCCACCAAAATCAATTGTAAAGCAGGTTCTGAGTGCCTCATACTTCTGTGTATACTTACACACTTATCATGGTTATAACAGGAGCATGGCGGTCAGGATTCATAGGGCAGCTACTACACAAAAGACAGGGAGGGCGCTTACCAAAATTGGCCACACACCAATAGATTCCTCCATCCATGCTAAACAGCTGGACAAATCTCCCACTGCGGCTATTGTATTCTGACAGCTAGGGATGCACTGATACTGATACTAGTAGCCGTATCCATGCCGATACCGAGTATTTGGGCAGTGCCATAGGGGAACATGGAGCCAGATTCCTGGGCAATCAGGAAGCTGGGCAGCGAGTAATGACCAGCCTCTCCTGGCTTCCTGATTGGCCTGGGAGCCGACTCCATGCTGATTGGCTGAGCAGTCAGCTTCCTGGCCAATCAGCATCGAGTTGGCCGAACAGCCGGGTATATGCTGATTGGCTGGGAAGCCGGCTTTCCAGCCAATTAACATTGAGCCGGCTTCCCGGTCAATCAGGAAGCCAGGCGGTGAGTAATTACCCGCCTCCTGGCTTCCTGATTGACCAGGAAGGCGGCTCCATGCTGATTGGCTGAGAAGACAGCTTCCTGGCCAATCAGCATCAAGTTGGCCAAACAGCCGGCTCCATGCTGATTGGCTGGGAAGCCGGCTTTCCAGTCAATCACCATGGAGCCGGATTTCCAATTAATCAGGAAGCCGGGAGGCAGGTCATTACTCCACTGCCTGGCTTTCCTGATTGGCCGGGAAGCTGGTTCCATGCTTATTGGCTGGGAAGCCGGTTTCCCAGTCAATAAGAATCAAGCCGGCCAAACAACATAGAGCCGGCTTCCCGGGCAATCAGAAAGCCGGGCGGCATGTCATTAACGCCGCCCGGCTTCCTTATTGCACGGGAAGCCGACTCCATGCCACCGGTATCGAAAGGTACTTAATACGGTAAAACCAGTATCAGTGCATTCCTACTAACAGCTAGCACCCACTGCTGTCTGAATACATGAACAGCATTCCCTCTGACATCAAAGAGTTATTCTCGTCATCTCTTCTGCCAAAAACGTATTGGCTCAGTGGATATCTCTAGAGATTTCTACAGATATCCTGTCT